TCAGGGGAAAATGAGGGAATGGTGCACGACCATTCAAAAATATGACTGGGTTTCTAACGATACAAAGCTTAATGCAAATGGGTGAAGTGTCCCTTTAAGGTGCAGATTGGACAAAGTATATTGAAGGTGTGACAACTTCCTGTTTCATGGTGAAATGTCAAATCTTGGCACCACGCCAAAGACACACCCTTTCACCAAAACTCACAAGTCGCACAACTTTTAATAGTGATGGTGTTTACATCATACTGACCAAATTTGAAGTTGATCCGATCAATTCCTTTCATGAGTTTCATGAGTTTTGGGATATAAGGCCTCCAAAAAGGCAATTCATTGCAGAGAAAAAAACAATAATTATAACAATTCCTTGAAATACAATTGTCATCTTTTTACTTTATTACAATAAACTACAGTAAAAGAGAAACAATACATCACATAAATGGTGGTAATAAAGTTTCTTTGAGGTACAATGTTTAATGAAGATGTTTTCAGCCCAGTTTTTTGTACTGGTGATTCAACCAGGGTCGATTCATGTGCATTACAGCGCTGACAGATACGACAGATACAACAGATACTAACGGGGTAACAGATCTACAGAACTGATACTGCAGGAGGTATTGATGCCTTATATTATCCAGTTTTCTTAATCTTCTTCAATAAAATGAAATTCAAATATTTTCAGGTTCCCGTCGCAGACAGAAGGGCTCAGACTTCTCTTCATCCTCTGAGGAAGAATACGAGATGAATGCCGGGACTCTCAAAGCCAAGCGTTCCTCCCATCCCTCCGCATCCGCCCAAACACCACGCGGCCACCGGACAGCCGCCACCAGATCCAAGTCTGTTTCCCTAGAGACGGAGGAGGACGAGGACCAGAACGAGATTGACCCGTACCAGAACTGGTCCACGCACAGCGCTGAGATCGCAAAGTAAAAAAGCATTGCAGTATCCAGAATTACCTTTAATTTAAAGAGTAACCAGACTCACATCTGTCTGTTTCGTAGTGGCTGGTCTTTATTTCACGGTGGCTCCAAACCTTTTTCCCCACAGGCTCAGTCAGGACCTAGCCAAAGATCTGGCCATCCTGGCAAAGGAAATTCACGATGTTGCTGGGGACGGAGACTCGCCAAGCTCTGGCATGGCCACCACCACCTCACCCAGCTCGCTGCCCAACACGCCGGCCTCCACCATCTCTGCCAGGGAGGAGGTGGGCAATGCTGTGGACTGTCAAACACCCCCCACGCCACCACACATACCACAGCTTCTAAAACTGGGAACACACAGTGGTTTAATAACCATGGTTAGAACAGGGATTTGACCGATATGATGGTGGACGTGGACACTAGAAAAGTAACAGTGAAATTGCACAATTCTCGTTACCATATTCGATACCACTGTAAAAAATAGGTTGTCCCCGATATTAATATTGATTATCTGCTGATACCGAGTCCTGATCCAATACTTTAATATGAATGATACTTTTGAATAGCTCTGCTTTGCATTTACAAAAAATGCCTCATCCAAGCTGTTCCTTAATGTTTTTATATTTTACTAAACAACAGTACAGCTGCACATCTTCCGTTTAAGAGCAGACTAGAATATTTGTAGGCGTATATGCTGCCCGTCACGTCTGGGACAATTGTACCCCCGGTAGTGTAGAAAAACGAGTACAGACAAGTTTCCTTAGTCTGTGAAAACAGACACAGTTGGTATTATGTTGCAATGTGCAAGGGTTTAGGACTAAAATCTCTTTTCTCCTTCACAATTCCACATGTTTACTTTTTCAGTTGGGATCTGGAGAAATCTGTGTGATCCTGCAGTTTGAGCTGAGTTGCAAATCTAAAGGAAAGTTCTTCCAGTGTCCTCTTAGTTTAAACAGTAGTTTTGTCTATCATCTCTATCAATTATGACAGCCAGAGTTTAGAAACATCAGAAATGTTCCAGGAGGAACGTTCCAGGTTGCAGGATGATTGACAGGAGCTTCATCACGCTTTGGATTCTCATGATTAATTTCTCTGTTCTGCTGCACAGGGGCCATCTTATCCATACTTCTGTGGGGTTCGACCATCTCAGGTGTCTAACTCTGACTCATCACTCCTCCTGGTTCCCCTCCTCCACCATCCTGCCCCTCCAATCACTGATCCTAACACTCCCCTCTCACCAGTGTTGGATTGTTCTTAAGCACATTTGATTTTTTTGATTTTGAGATTTGTCTGATTGAGTGGTCCAGTATGAAAGGTTATTAGCAGCAGAACTACTGAGTTAGCACAACAAACACAAGCTGGAATCAGTGTGCAGGGTCAAGGTTTTGAATGCTGTTCCAAACAAGTTAACCAGTTTAAGACCCCAATCCGACCCGACCCATATCTGCCCTGATCTACTCTACCCAGAATATCCTACTGTACCTGACCCAACTCAGCTTGTCATACCCACCCAAACTCTACCCTACTTTACCTGAGCCAACCCTGCTGTATACTACTCAAACTAACTATATCCTACTATACCCAACCCAGCCTCTACTCTACCCCACTGTGCCCAACATAGTTCTATTCTGAAATACCCCACGCAACCATTCTCTATTCCAGTGTTCCTCAATGGCAATACGCATCCCCCTAGGGTTACTTTGGAGTACTGCAAGGGGTACGTGAGATTGTAATAAATAACGTAAATGTATGTTCAATAAACCACATTTTATATGTAATATTCCCATTTTCAGTGCAATCGTTAACTGTCAACTGCCATAGAACCTCACAGAAGAAGAGGAAAGCATCATGCTCTTACAGTTACAAGGTTATTGTTCAATAAATCAGACTGATGATGCAGTGCTGTATTTTAGCTCTTTACATAGGAATTATTTTGTACCAAAAAGGTTTTACTTTACATATCCCTACTTAAAGTCGGTCAGAATGCTATAGTAGTTTAATGGATCGGGTTTTGCTCACCAGCCAGTGATAAAGGAGTATTTTAAATGTCCTTGGTACAACAGTTTATTTTATCAGAACTTTAGACTCTGTCCCTGCTCTCTATCAGGTCTTTATTTTCATTCTTGTTCCTGCTTAGATTTTATTTGTGCTTGCTCAGTAGTTTTGCCATTAATAACTTTCCATTTCCCTGCACCTTTAATGAACTGATTTTACTGGTTTTGGGACAGTTCATGGAGCTGTAGCTGGTGACCAGTTGGATCCTCCTGCACTCCTGCGCCTCCCTGTTGTTGTTAACACGCTGTATCCCAGCAGTACTAAAATTCACTGCATACACCGTTGCCCTCCACCATCGCAGCTGCATGTTGACTTGGTGCATGCGTTCACAGAGCACCGCCATCACCAGCCGGCTGCTCGTTGGTTTGATGACAAATATTCAGTAGTTGGATCACCGGAGCCCGGCTCCCTCTACTCTCTTTCCAGCTGGTCCAACATATCCCTGAGGCCAGTTTAAACTACCAGAAGGTTCCTCCAGGTTCTGCTGCAGTCTCGGACCTGGACGCAAACATGAATGAGCCGGAGCCCGGTTCTAAGCAACGCCGTCCGTGGAACCGCGAAGAGGTCACTGTCTAATCCCGCTGAGGCTACGTTCACACAGCAGTTCAGTGTGTCCCAGATCTGAAGATTTAATGTGACACAAGATGGTTTCAGTCAGTGTGAACAGTTTTACTGTTTTGATCTGGACGATGTGGATGAATAATTAAGTATTAAATCTACACATATACAGCCCCCAAAATGCCCTAAATGACTTAATGGTTTAAACGATTAACTTAATTGGAAGCATTTGATATTTAATTATATGAAACAAAACTTATTTGTGTCTGATCAGTGTTTCTCTTGTTGTGTGTCAATAATACAAATATTTATCTTGAACAATTTATTTTAACTTATTGTCCAGTTAACTTCCTAACTTGGTGGGCTAATGTGGAAACCAAGAATGTTCCCAGCTAGCTATTATTAGATAGTATTTTACCAAATGTCTCTGCAGGTATTCACTATGTCACCAAGTGTCTAACACTACCTGCTTTGTAAAGATATGCCAGTGAATGGCAGGGCACTTTCTGGTGTGACTGAGCACTAAAAGTCTAGCCTGCTGCTAAAGGGAGCAAGAATGGGATCAGTAAAGTTCTTGGAAATCTGACAAGTAGTTGTTGTAATACTTTCTTCTGGACCAAAGAGGGCTAGACTAAGATCACCACATTCAGGCCCTGCCTCTAGCGAGACAAATAGGGTAGGATAAAGGGCGTATGGAAACAGTTATAGACATGCAGAGCCTGCAGTGTGAACGTATCCTAAACAAACTAAACACGACTGCAACTGCTGCAGTTAGTTTTGGTGTGCTGGGAAATCAGGTTGTAAACGTCTGTTCATGTCAGTGTTGATGTCACGTTCCAGGTTCCTACTCAGAGTTCATCTGGTTCATCTTTTCTCTCTGAATGAACTCTTTCAGGTGATTCTGGACAACCTGATGCTGAATCCAGTGTCTCAGCTGTCTCAGGCCATCCGGGAGAACACGGAGCAGCTGGCTGAAAAGATGAAGTAAGGAAGCTCTTGATGACACTCTCACTGTAGCAATAAATGTAGTTACTGCATTTACATAGACTGCAGCTCTGTGCAGTCCCTCCAGGAAGTTACATTCGCAACAGTTAACGCAGATTCAACCAATCTTTGTGAAATCTTTGCATCTTCACAAATCAATCAAAAAAATCATCTATTTTTGCAATTTTCACTTTCTCTCACAATTTCATTGCAAAAAAAAAAAATTAAACATTGCAGCATGCCTCACAGTTCTTTATAAAGGCTGCCATCAAATGAAAGGAATTTTAGACTGCAACAATCCCAAAAACAGCCCACGAAATCCTGGAGGGTCTGTCTGTGTTTTAGAGATCTTTAGACAGACTTGAATCTGAAAACTGGAGACTACCTAGATCCTGTCTGGAGAATATCAGGGCTTTATAGAAGGGTAAGGGGAGCCCAGATATGTGCATGTGGAACATTTTCACATTTTGCTGGGTTTAACATTTGATATGAAAAACAAAGCTGAGACTGCAAATTGCATCTTGTAAGTGCTAAAACTTGAGAATAAGGTCCGTTTTTTGGGGGGGTGAGTTGTGTTTGGAGTTCTGTGGAGGGGACATTTATTGGATAGATATATCAGAAGTTCTTATTGCATCATTACAGTTTCTTGAATCCATCTGCTGTGGTTTAATTTTGTGTGGGTACTAACCCTGCAGTGTGTTTGTCCGTTTTCAGGGTTCTGTTCCAGAACAAGGCAGGTGTCTGGGAGGAGATCGAGGCAAAGATCTATGCTGAGAATGAAGTCCCCATCCTAAAAACCTCCAATAAGGTTCTTCTGCAAGCTATTTAATAATTATAAATAACTCTGATGTGAGCACAGCTGGAACTTTGTGTTTCATCTTGCAGGAAATTACCTCCATTTTGAAAGAGCTGAGAAGAGTCCAGAGACAGCTTGAAGGTACGCGTAGACTCAGCTTTTATATCTGACATTATTTAATCAGGACAGATTTTCACTAAAAAATAATACAATAATACAATCTAAGACTTAATCTGAAGTAGATTTAGTTTGACCTGGTGTGATCATTAATGTCCTCTTCTTATTGCCGTAGTTATAAACACTATCGTGGAGCCTGGTGGGAGTCTCCAGACTGCTGCTGTCGCGACATCATCTCACAGTCAGGCTAGACCGTCATCAAAGGAGAAGAAATCTGCCTCCAAACCCCGTGGCGCCCCCGCGACCTCGAACGCCAATGAAAGCACCAAGAGACCACCTCGTGGACCCGATGGGGCCCACTACATGGCTTGATCAGGCCACCGTAGCACCTCTGGATAGTAACCGTGCATCCACACCGCCTGCAGCCATATTGCCCCACCTCTGTCCAATGATCAGTCCGACCCTGATGATTACTGGCTGTAGCACCCAGAGAGGCATCTTCTTTTATTCTAGATGAGCTTATAGGGAGCTGTAGCTCAACAAAGATCAGCTTTTACTGTGTAGCTGACCACTTGAATCGAGCAAGAACCCCATTATGAACACATGTTTTTCAGAGATCAGCAGGCATTTGTAAAGACGAACTTCTAGTCTGACTTTAACTCGTGAGTGCTCGTCCATCATGTCATGTTTGGGGGTACATCTTTTTCAAAGGTTTATTTTGATTGTGAATGTCTCAATGGTTCAAATGGTGGAGTCTGTCTGGAGAGTCAGAGAAATTAAGTATATGTTTGTCTTTTATTCTAAGGACAAAATTAGCTAATTTTTTGGTCCTCAGTGTCCCACAATTCATTGTGTGCCAGTGTCCCAATTCCATACTTCATACCAATATACAGTACCCTAACGTCATAGTATAGGGTTTGGTATTACTGTTTGGTATTGGCAGTAAATCATCAGCAGCGGTCGTGCAGTGTGTGTAGTAAAAAAAGTGCGAGGTTGGCAGCGGGAACTGGCAGTAACTTTGTGGTGCATCTTCTGTAAAAGAAAGAGGCACAAAAGTACTTTTATACTTGACAACCTTCAAAGGTTGAGAGAATTGGCCCCTAACAGGGGGCACAGAGACCGGGATTGGGAGTAACATTCAGCGGGTTGTTGTCTACCATTTGATTTTGACAGCCGCTGAGGGTTCTCACTGTAGAAAGCTGCCGGTGATGTGGATGCACTCAAACTGTCCAAAACAAATGTCTCATTTGTATCCAGTGATTCAGTCCGTAAGAACAAATGCATTTTGAGTGAAACAATATAACTATGTAGAACTGCTTCTACATCGCACAAGCTGAACAAAATTTATTCAAAGCTACAAAAAGCAGCAGCTGCTCGCGCCGCAGTAGTACTGTACGTGGACAATGTTCAAACGTATATTGATAAATTTGTGCTTTGATAATCTGTTGTTGTGTTGCATTTGAACAGATGATAGATTGTGTCTTTTCTGTCTGTATTTATGAGGAGAGAGTCATAGCTATTTTCCCATCAGAGGGTCCTGTGCTGCTTCAGTGTCATGGACAGGAAACACTTGTAGAAGTAAAAAGATGTAATGTTATACTTTATTGAATGTTCTGTTGCCATCTCGCTGTGATTGTGCGATAACTGTGAAACTGCTTTAGGTTCGCTGTAGTTGAATGTTGTGAGTGCTGAATGTCAGAGAGAACAAATCAGCTTAACTAAAATGAGACAGTGACATGAAACCCAAGAAACACGACACATCTGCTGTCTGACTGATAATGTCAGTTTTATTTGACATGTTGTGTTGCACTTGTGAGAACAGTTTCTGCCCCGCTCAGTCAGTCAAGACCGACACACAAAGCACACAGCTTTGGTTTTATTTTCAGAAGTTTTAGAGGCAGAAACGTAAGCAATGACATTGCCATTAGAAACTAATTCCACTTTCTGGGCAAACAGATGCATTTCATTCACTAAAGAAATTGGAGATGCTTTCTTCATTTACGAGATAAAGATTTCGTAGGATCCTATGAGATGTCATAATTATCATGAGACGTGCTGTTTTCTACTCACAAGTTGTAAAAATCCAACAATCGATCAAACAACCATCCACTGTACAGAGACGCAATGATGAACTACAACTTGAGCTCATATATTCAAACATTATCACAGCAGTTGACCTTCTGTCAGTATGTTTACTTCCTAAAACCTGACTTATATCAACAGGGGAAGAAGCCACTACAACTTTATTACCTAAATTTGAGAAAACAACTTACTATCTTTATCCAGAGCTTTCAGCTGTATGTCACAGATTTCACAGTGACCGTCTTTCATCAGACAGCATCTCGTCATACCTGAACACACCTGAACCATCTCCATGACAACGAGGCAATGAGTATGAGTGTGAGATGTGGTTGCAGGTTCTGGAAAAAGCTCATAAATGGACAGATTATTTAGTTCCAGTCAGTAATGAACTTCCTCGCTCGTTAGCTATTGTTTAGACCTTCTTGTAAAGACCTTCAGCCTCCTTAATAAACAGGCTTTTAAATACATAATTACATTCCCATTACAAGTTAGAAAAGTGCTTTATAAAAAAAGTATTTACAGTTTTACCTTGTGGGAACTACCTGCTCAGTAAAGGGCGGGAAAAAAATATGTGTGTGTGTGTGTGTGTGTGTGTGTGTTTGTTTGTTTGTTTGTTTGTTTAACTTCATTCATGTGTTCACGCAGCCGGGGCGTTAGTGTGGAGAGCGCTGTACAGGTGTAAGTAAGAGTGTTAGCTGTCTTTTTTCATTGTCACATTTCAAATGGATGTCAGTTACAGGTCCAGGATGTGGTTAGCCTAGCTTAGCACAAAGACTGGACGCAGAGGGAAACTGATCATCAAGAGAAGAAATCCCGAAAAGTCTGTCTGATTAACAAGTCAGTCCATCCCGGAAGTTACGATTGCACTGATAAACACGCGTTCAACCAATCCCTGTGAATGCTGCGACACCTTGCAATTTTGTCCAATCACAACAACCTTTCTGCAGATTTGTCCAATTATCGCAGTCAGTTGTGCAAAACATTGATCTATACATAACACATGTTGAGGAGGCAATATTTTCTAAAAGTAGAGTGGACTGTGTTTTTACTGCAGTTGCTATTTCTCTGGATAAAAGATACGTCAGTTTCAGAAGGTTAGCTAGCAGGTAGTTCAGTTGTTATACTGAAAAGCAACATAACTTTAACTTGTTAAGCTTATCTCTCTGCCTGTGAAGCCAACTTTAGCTTAGAAGCTTAATTGTTGGTCAGATATTAAAAAAAATGTCAATTATGTAAATATAAATGTAAAAATGTCTGTAGAAAAATTGCATTCATGTATAGAAAATCACAATAATTCACTTACTGCGCCTAGAGGTTGTTGGTCAATATCTCCAGTGCTAACTGCTAAACACAATGTTTGTAAATCGGACAGATATGAAGCTTCTGGAAGGTGGAATTTTTCACTTTCGATGGAGCTAGGTTAGCAGTTTCCCCCTGCTTCTAGCCTTTGTGCTAAGCTAGGCTAACCACATCCTGGACACCCAGAGACGAAACTGAACATGTGACTCTGGAGAAGACAAGATGATTTCACCAAACTGTTGCTGTAAAGTGTTTGGCTGGAGAGACAGGATATTTTAGACTTTTATTTTGTAAAGTGCATGTTTCCTGTAGCTTGAGGCAGGTGAGAGTTTGAGGCTAGTTCACCAAATGTGCACTTTTTCATTTGACAAACACCTCATGAAAACAGCTTTTTCATGCTACGCAGCCATTGAGAATGTATTGATTGGTCACCTGCCCACAACACAGACCTGATTGGCCGTTGCTGTGATGATGTAACTGCTGCTGCTACAGGTGATTGGTCATTTGGGCTACTTGCATTTGTGTTTTTCTTTCGTTACAGTGCATGCAACTGTGAAGCAGACAAGCTGTAGAAACATGCTGAATAGACGAAGCAAACCAAACTGTTCATATTTCTGCTGTATGTTTCCTGTTTGAAACCTTTTTTATGCATTGATCATACGAAGGTCTGCAGCCGATCAATCTGCAGTCCGCTGTGTTTCTAACGGAGTATAACCCTCCTGATTTATTCATTAAGTTCCAATGATCTTCAGATATCTGGACTCTCATGTGTTCACCATCAACAGGATTTCTTTACATCACCATGTCATTTGTAATAAACTGATTTCATGCACTCTGATGTTAATATCTCTTTCTACAGCGGTCACATTTCAACTCTTATTTTCTTTTAAATCTGCGCTCCTAAACTCCTGAAACTTTTATTTATTTATAATTTTCTCTTTATTTGAAAAAGCAAAACATTACAAGTACAGTTTCATACAATTTACTACAACATTACATCTTTTTTCTTTACCCATTTCCATTTGTATGTTGGTGTTAGCAAACAACTGGGGAGCTTACTCACTGGTTATCTTAATGACACACGCATTATATACACAAAAAAGGTGAAAGCTGGGGATAAATTGACACTTTGGTGAATAGGCTTGCACTATAGAAATAAGTAACATAAATGGCGGTTACATACTCCGTCCATTTAGTCCAGATCTGATAAAACTTTTCTGTTTGCACTTTAAGAGAAAATGACAGTTTTACACTATCAATCCATTCCTCAATGGTGGGTGGTTCTGCTTTTAACCATTTTTTGTTATTGTTTTTTTGCTTGCAGTCAGTAATATACAAAGTCATTTTTTATCGTTAGTTTTCCAATTTATAAAATTAATATCAGCCAGATATACAGTTTCCCACTGGAAAGGGATCTTGGTGCCAAATATATTATTTATGTGTATGTATCTCTTTCCAGTAAGCGTGTATGACCTTACTATTCCAGAAAATGTGGAATTGATTGGCTTCTGTAGAACCACAGAGTCTCCAACAGGCATCCCCTATACCCTGATGTTGTTTTTGTGTTGATGTGACAAAAAATCTCACAACATTTTTCCAACCAAACTCTTGTCACGGCTGGCATATTTTCTCCCAACTTTCCATAGGAATCGTTACATTTGCTTCTTTTTCCCACTTTTTCTTTATGTATTCTGTGTTCTGTCGTTTGGACTGTTGGATGCCATTATATAGTCTGGATATTACTTTGGTGCAAGTTCTTGTCTCAAAGAATGATAAGAACATCTGCAGGAATTCGGGTCCACTTTTCACAGCAGCCTCTTTCAGGTTCTGGTTAAAATAATGCCTAACCATGTTTTTTCTGTAGATTTCAAACTTCTGAAATGCCCCCTTGAGGGTAAATGAATAATAAGTAGTTAACCCTTTAGAGGACCAGGTCTTAAATCTACCATCGCTTTTATTGGGAGCAAAATCTGAGTCATAGGCACACCACCTCAGGAGTTTGGATGAATCGCCCAGTCTGCAGAGTTTGGCTGTTTCCTGCCAGGAATTCAAAAGAACAGCAAGCATAGGATACTCTGAGACCATCAGTTCACCCTGTAGTTTATTATCTAACAATAGGGCTGTTATTGGAATATCTTCTACCATTGTGCCTTCTATGTCTTTCCATCCTGCCGAGTATGTTGGTGAGCAAAGACAAGCCAATGGTCTCAGCTGAGCTGCATAGTAGTATTCCTGAAGACAAGGAAGGCCCATTCCTCCCTTTTCTTAGTTGCAAGGTTTTATATTTTACTCTGGCCCTTTTCCCTTTCCCATATGTATCTTGATATTGACCTGTCCCAAATTAAAAATTGTTTTGGTGGCATATCAACAGGCAGGCATTGAAAAAGATAAAGTAATCGTGGAACGATATTCATCCTAACTTACTCAATCCTGGAACTCAAACTCAGGAAAGGGATAACGTTCCATCTTTGCATGTCTGCTTTTATTCTTGTATTTAGAGGTCCATAATTGAGATCAAATATCTTGGAAAGATTTTTAGGCAGTGTTACTCCCAGATATTTGATGCATTCTGCATCCCAGTTCCATTTGTAAAGGGTCTTTATCTCTATTGGAGGGTCATAATTAAGGGCTAGTACCTGGGTTTTGTTAATGTTGATTTTATAGCCCGAAAGTAGGCCGAATTCATTTAGCATGTTCATTAATTTTGGGAGTGTGTGTGTAGGCCATGTTAGAGTTATCAATATATCGTCTGCAAATAGAGCCAATTTCTGACCTCTCCCGTATCCATTGGCTTAGGGGTTCTGTGTATTGTAAGTGTATTGATTACGTCTATTTCTTTTTTCATATTTATATCTTAAGTTTAGTGCTATCTTTAAAGGTTTTTGAGTGTTCTTTTTTGAAGTTTCATCAGTTCTTCCTCTAACTTTTTGAGTTTTTGCTGTCGAATTTTCTTTTCATAGGATGAATTTGCTATTATTTTGCCTCTGATTACTGCTTTTAATGCATCCCAGAGTATAGATGGCCTCACTTCCTCATTGTCGTTATGCTCCAAGTATGATTTCATTTCACTTTTCAGGGTTTCTTTAAAAACTGGATTATTAAGAATATTTGAGTTTAACCTCCAAGATGTAGACCTAATTTTATTATAAATGGAGTGTAATGAAGATTGGACTATGGTCCGAAATAGTGCTGGGACCATTTTTCCAATCTATAGAGGTCTTTTTTAAATGTAAAGAAGTAGTCAATCCGAGCAAAGGTTTTTTACTGATTTTTTTGGCCTCAGTTTTTCCATTTGAGGAGTCCATTTTTGGGTTTAAACGAATATTAAAATCTCCGCCACAAATTAGGATCCCTTGAGTTTTTGATGTCATTGTTGAACATATGTATTTATAGAAGGACCAGTCACTACAAGGAGGAACATATATGTTAAGGAGGCTCAACAATTTACTGTCTAATTTGCCTATGATCATAACAAATCTGCCTTCTTTATCTTTATATTCACATAAATGTTCATAGTTTACAGTTCTGGATATCAAAATCGCCACTCCTCTCCGCCTCCCTGATTCATAAATATTATAACTTGGTCATCCAATATGACTTCCAATGTAGGGGTCTATTTTTCCTTGACCCTGGCCGTCCTCCAAAAAGAGGCTCCTAAGGGGAAGAAAAAACCTCCTGCAGCGCTCGGAGGGGCCCTCAACGATGACGGCGGCACAGTGGTGCCCAACATGAAATGATTGTAGCCTCTCCTGGACAGGTCTATGGTTGCATCCTTTATTGAATCGTAACTTTTGGTTTCGTCCTTATATCTCACCCGAAGCCTGGCAGTGAAGAGAGTCTGGAATTGGACTTGATTTTCTCTTAGGACTTTCCGGATCTTAGCATATTCTCGTTGTTTTTTGAGGATTAAAGTGGGGTAGTCATGGTCGAGGTTTATTCGGTAATTTTGCCAGGTGAACCCCTTTCTCTGCCATGTCTTGCGGAGCGTCTTTCAGTCTGCAAGTCGGGCTCATCCTTGGGCAATTCAAGGTCGTCTCGAAGGAGTTTTTCCACAAATGACACCATAGTTGGTGAGTCTTTTTCAACTTCCTCTGGCACCCCATAAATCCTCACGTTCTCACATCTCGAGCACTCTCCATGTCCATTAGCTTATCCTCCAGCTTCACGTGTAGCTTTAGCATCTCTGTCATGATTTCTTCCATGTTTTGTTTGTTTATTTTCCCTTGGTACTCGTTAGCATTAGCCATTTGGTGTTGCAGTTCAGTCTTCTCACCAACCTCTGTTTTGTAGTACTTTTTCTTAGTTTTCATGGGAGTATTTCAATAACTACTCAGGTTCCATAGGGAGCTCTTTACCTATGCAGCCATCTTGACGGTGTTCCGACCGGAAGTCCTAAACTTCCGATTTAAAGCTGATTTAGAGCAAACATTTGGCTGTTTTAACAGAAGTATTTTGTTTTCTGTGGTTTGTCTTGGTGTGTCTAATGTGACTAAAATAAAATAATCAAATGACAAAATTTGTTTTAAACTAAAACACATTTTAGACTAAAACCAAATCAGGAGCCAGAATGAACACTGGCAGTGTGAAGAGCCAACAGTTCACACTTTATTAAACAGGAACCACAGGTGGTCAACAGTCATTTTAAATTAAAAGCTCACAGTAGGTCGCTATGCTATGGCAGTATAGAAATATCCAAAACATTATAAAAAACTACCAGAGTTTTCTTTATTAAATTAAATAATTAAACTAAAACATATTTCAGTCATTTAATACTACATACTGATCGATGGACAGATGGACATACTGATCGATGGACAGGTGGACATATTGATCAATACACTGATGGTTATACTGATCGATGGACAGATGGGCATACTGATCAATGGACATACTGATCGATGGACAGATGGACATACTGATCGATAGACATACTGATCAATACACTGATGGATATACTGATCAATGGACAGATGGACATACTGACCGATGGACATACTGACCGATGGACATACTGATCGATGGACATACTGATCGATGGACAGATGGACATACTGATCGATACACTGATGGATATACTGATCAATGGACATACTGATCGATGGACATACTGGACAGACGATGGAGCGACTCTTTGATGCTGTGGAGACGTCTCAGGTGTCCCTCTTAGGTGTCCCTCTGGTCTCTGTCCTCCTGCTGGAAGCCTCTCTTCATGGTGCGGCTGATGTACAGGAACAAGGTCTACAACAAAGTCCAGGACACATGGGGGGCAGCCCCCAGACCAAAAGTCTCAAAAAAGAGTGTGTTTGTCAAATTTAATATGGTAATTATTAATAATAACTAATAGTAATAATAAATTTAGTCGGACAAACTACTTTAAAGCCCTTTGTCTAGATCCAGTTTGGTTTGTCTGTTCTGGGCTACTGCTAGAAACCCATGTGGTTCAACATGGCGGACCCCGCCGAAGAAGGACCCGCTAAACGTCTCATTCTAAGATAACAAAAGCTGATTAAACACTAATGTAACCATGAATGTTATATTAATGTGACACACTGGAGACTAGAACACTACCACAGGGTCAGTGTTAGAACCCTTTCAAACTATAGTACACAAGCTCCCTCTAGTGGTAACAGAGAAATCTCTCTATTAAAATTCTACTATTTGGAATGAAAATACTATGCAATGTAATTCAATTGTCTTTGTCAAAAGTTTTGCATTTGCTGCAATATTTAGTTTCAGCCTGCTCGTAGTCACATTCATGAATCATACATCCATGATCAGTACGGAGCTGTACTGTAAGATAGTGAGCGGAGGTCATATGAATGGTTCAGAAACACTGCAGTCGTGGCTTCAAACTGGAACTATCGGGAAGTGAAATGTGGACCAGGAGGACCTGCTTTCCACCAAATTAGCTCTGGTTCTTGAACCGGTTCTGTTGAGGATTCAGCAACACTCAACAATAAATAATCTTTTTTTAAAGCTGCCTCCTGTGTGAACTGTGTTGAGTATTAAAATGGCGGCAGTGGGAGAGGTATTCTCTGATAGGGGATGGCAACAGAAAGCTTAACATCCTCCCTCTCATTTAGAACAATAATAAATACAAACTCATGTCTCTAAATGCCTTAAAGTGTAACTCAAGGCTCAAAGTGCATTTGTTGGGGACTATTTTCAGTGGCGGATTAATCCACATTGTAACGTGTTTTTTGTCCCTTTAAAGGTACAGTAAGAAGAGAAGAAGACCTGGTGTACAGTGTTTTACTACAGGGTTTGATGCAGAATAGATCCAGCAGGGGGCAGCATAAGTCTAAACAACAGTGTCTGAAGAGAGGAGCTGTGCAGGTAAACCAGGTAATAGACAGGACCCTGGTTTTATCCATCATACCCCTCTGCTACTTTCTCCAGCTTATACGTTTATATATAAAACTATATATATAAAACATATATATAAAACTATAAAACATATATATATATATATAAAACAAAACAAACAGCCAACAGCCATCAAACAGCCAACAAGGCAGATCTGTTTACCTTCCAGGCCTCCTCCATATCTGAGCTCCAGCGCTCCTTCAGGACCGGCTGCACGGCTCGGATAAACTCCGCCCCTACAAACTGGACAGACAGAGTTGTTACCCTCCCTCCTGAATCAAACACACCTACAGGACTTTAGCAGCACTGTCTGACAGACACTGAGAGGGTTGGTTTGTTTTGGACACCAGTGTTGGTTGTGGTCAGAGGTGTAACCACACCCAGCAGTGATGTCACAGTCACTGTCTGTCACTGCCTCCTGTTGCCGTTGGTTACACACTGACTTTGTAGTATTTTGGCGGGGCGTTGTAGTGGTGGTGCTTCCTGCCCAGATCCAGGATCAGCTGGTCCAGACGTTCGTCCTGGTCAATCCTGGCAACCGTCTTCTCAATGAAAGACATGATCCTGCAGAGACCAGAACTGCATCACAGACTGCAGTGAACCAGCTAGGACAGCAGAGGGTGATGCTGCACTGCTCTGAATATATATATTATTTAAATACATACATATAAATACTGTACAGTATATAATGCACTATATATACTGTACTGTAGATATTTATACTTTATATATACAATATATATACGTAGACTGCAGCATTTTATACTATACAGTAATATATTTTATCTGTAATATATAAATATAGATACTGTGCTGTATATATTTTTATATATACTGCTTTAGTACCTGAGTCCGTGGGCTCTCAGCTCTCTGCTGGTCCTCAGAGTCTCCAGATCGTCAACTTCTCTAAACATGAAGAAGACGTCTTTACACTCTGGGTGGGTCTCAAACAGCCTGGAAGGAGGAGAAAGAGATCTGTTAACCTTCACAGTAGCTGTATTGGAAACTACCTATTAGACAGTACCAACTAACACAGTACGCAGCACGTACGCAGTACACAGTATGCAGTACACAGTACGCAGTACGCAGTACACAGTACACACCACTCATGTGTACCATCCACTGCGCTCTACAACCGTGGATCTCAACCTGAACAGATCTCAGAGATATCAGCCCAGTTCCCGCAGCAATAACAGAACCTATCTCTGTGTGTTATTGTGCAGATAGATAGATAGATAGA